AATTCAAGAGTTGACCAAAAAGGTCGAGAAAATTGGAAATGACTAATGTACCCCTCACTTCGTTTTCTTAAATTTGGAGAAATAAATAACTAGTTCCAATCAAATCTTCGAAATACGTCTAGAATAAAATAAAATAATAATTTTGGGGACGGGATATCACAATTGCAAGTCAGTTCATGCATGCACCTATTATTAAGCATTTTAATCTTGTCAAAAGAATCCTTCGTTACTTGACAGGATCAGTAGGCCATGGCATAGTCATGAAGAACAATGGAAGCACTCAAATAAAGGGATATTGTGATGCTGACTGGGCTGGAAATTCAATAGATCACAAATCAACAACTGGAAATTGTATCTTTGTGGAAGGAAACTTAGTCACATGGAAAAGCAAAAAATTAGCAGTAGTTGCCAGATCAAGTGTTGAGGCTAAGTATAGATTGATGGTACTGCTTGTGAGCTAATTTGATTGCGAGGTCTCTTTTGTGATTTAGGAGTCTTCAATTTTCAGCTCATGTCTCTTTATTATGACAATCAGGCAGCCATACACATTGCATCCAATCCAGTGTTTCACGAAAGAACCAAGCACATCGAAGTGGATTGTCATTATATGCGTAAACAAGTGCAAACACAGGTTATTCAAACTCACTATGTTCGAAGTACTGATCAACTTGCTGACCTATTCACTAAATCTTTGCCTATGCATCAGTTTCAACGCCTTTTGGGCAAGCTTGGTTCCATCAATTTGCTGGATCGAGCTTGAGGGGGAGTATTGGAAGAATGGTGATGGTGGTAATTAGGGGTACAATAGTGTATCAGCTTTAGGGACTAAGTGATGCTTTATGTGTTACCTTGTCAACTTGTATGTAGTCTTTTTCTTGTTAGCTGCTCCTTAATTTAAGGAGATTTGGTGTAAGTCTTTTCTCTTGTTGTCAACTCCTTGATTTAAGGAGAAGTCTCCTAGCATTGGTGTAAGTCTCCTAGACTAGCTTTTTTGTAGTGGTTAATAGGGTTTTCTGGATGACTGAGTGCATGGCATATGCACTGATTCCTACCCTTTAAATATCTCATCTTCCTTTTGTAACTTCATGACATTTTGGAATATAAGAAAGAAATTTATACTTGAAACTCAAGATAAAGTAAGGTTGGTTGCTCAAGGGTACAATCAAGAACAAGGTTTGGATTACTTTGAAACGTTTAGTCTAGTGGTAAGACACACCACTGTGAGAGTCATTCTTTCTTTAGTTGCACAATATGGTTGAGAGTCTAAGGCAATTAGATGTTAAAAATGCATTTTTGCATGAAGACCTAGAGGAAGAGGTGTATATGAAACAGCCTCAAGGTTTTGGGGATAAATCATGTCCTGATTATGTTTGCAAATTGATTAAATCTTTGTATGGTTTAAAACAGGCCTCGAGAGCCTGGAATTCAAAATTCACAAGTTATATTCCAGCTCTTGGCTTTAAAACTTCATTATCAGTTATTAGCTTGTTTGTTAAAGTTGACGGTGATGATATTATTCTCTTACTACTATATGTGGATGACATAATTGTGACTGGTTCCAATGTAGCTAAGATTCAAGCTGTGATTCAAGATCTTGCAAAAGTATTTGATTTTAAGGATATGGGCAAACTCACATTTTTCTTGGGATTACATATTCAATACAAAGATGATGGGATTACATATTCAATACAAAGATGATAGGATTACATATTCAATACAAAGATGATGGTTCTCTATTTGTTACTCAGTCAAAGTATACCAAATAGTTATTAAAGAAGGCTGGATGGAGAGTTACAAGCCTACATCAACACCTTCAAAACCATATACTTAATTGTTAGAGAATAAAGGTCTTGACCTAGCTGATCCCACTCAGTACAGAAGTTTAGTAGGTGCTCTTCAGTACTTGACATTCACTCGACCTGATATAACTTATGCTGTGAATATGGTATGTCAATTCATGACAAAACCAACTGATTTACACTTTCATTTGGTTAAAAGAATACTGCAATACTTGAAAGGTACAATTGAATGTGGATTGCACTACAAGAAAAGTCTAAAGTTAACTTCACAGCATATTCAGATTCTGATTGGGCTATGGATATCAACACAAGAAGGTCATTCATAGGTTTTGTGGTCTATCTGGGACTCAATCCTTTATCTTGGCAGTCAAAGAAACAAACCATTGTCTCAAGAAGTAGTACAGAAGCTGAATATAAAGCATTGGCACACTCGGTTGCAAACTTGTTTTGGATTCGATCCTTGTTTAAAGATATGTAATTACAAAATCTCCATTACTGCAGTTTGACAACTTGTATGCCTTGGCTCTTAGTTCAAATCCAGTGTTCCACTCCAAAATCAAGCATTTTGACACGGATTACCATTTTGTAAGGGAAAAAGTGCAGAAATGTGACTTGGTGGTGCAATACATTCTTACTGAAAATCAAATTGCAGATGTGTTCACCAAAGGATTACACAGTCATGTGTTTCTCAAGCATTGCAGGGGTCTTGGCTTGGGAATTCTAGATCGATCACTCCATTCTTCTGATGCTTCAATCACTTGATGCAAACTGAGCTTCGAGAGCTCTAAGCTCAGTTTGAGAAGGGGTAATAATCGTAATAATAGAAATTGTTAACAATAATGCCATGTGTCATTTGATGATTAAGAGAGTTTGTTAGTTTTGATCAATATAGTTAGAGGGGTAGAAGTGTATTCAGACAAGTGTATGGAGGGCTATATATATATATATATTACTATAGAGGCCATCATTAAATGATCATTGTGTAATAATCCATTTTTCTGTGAAGTACAATTCTTTCTTCTGCCATTGTTATTCTTCAACTCTCTCTCATCTCTCTAGAGATCCTTCTTAGTTTCTTTCGTTAATAAGATCAACTTGTCCGTGATTGATTTTGTCCCAATAATTTTGAGTGATATAATAGTTAAAAAATTTCAAGTTCAAAGAGGTAATTAGTAACATGATTAAGAATATATAGCTGTATAACAAAAAAAAAAATTTGAAATTGTTATAGTGCTCTAAAATTCTACATTGTGATGAGAATCCTTGAAACAAACTGTAATATCATTGAGCCAAACTTTTGGGATGCACACCTAACACTTATCTCTAGGTAACTGATGATGCTCTGAAGCACTGGCATGGGAGTCATTTTCTAAACCATTGAATGTTCTAAATTTTCTTACCTGTACATATGTTAAGGAAATTTTACTTTCTTTTTTTTTTTAAAAAAAAGAAAAAGAATTCCATTGCCAGGACTGGATACATGATTAAACATACACTCTTTTTGTTTTTTGTGTTACACATGTATGTGCAAATTCAGACATTGGAATACCACTGTACTAAGTATTGGCATTTATGTGATAACCAGCAAAGTAGTTTGTAGCCTTGGACTTACATATGTTACTGCTCAAAAAGTAATGGTGTTTAGTCAGATTACAACAAAGAAGTCGAGTATAAGCAACTGGAAATCCTTTTACTTCTCCGTCTCTGCATGTTCTTTTCTCATTCTCTTTTAGTGATTATGCTAGTCCTTTCTAGCTAGTAAAAATAGACTTTCAATGTGTTTTAATATCAAGGATAAAATACATTAGCTTTTTTTTTTTTTTTTTTTTTTTTTTTTTGACAAACAATAGTATTAGTCGGTTAAATTGTTAGTTGTTAGGGGGGAGGGGATCATTGTGGATCGAACTCGCATCATGGTGCATAGGCATAATTGCTTTCCATCCACTGCTATGGAGCCAAAAATAATTCAAAAAATTCTAGAACTAACACATGCACTTGCATTCAAAATTAACGAGAATGCTTGGGGAGGTCCACAGTCATTCTACTAGCAGTTCAACCAATGAAGAAGGCTTGAGTTGCAGAATACAATTTCTCCAAGCTCCTTTGCCCATGTCAAGGAGATAAGGTAAGAAAATTAAAGATAGAGTTAATAACTAATTCTTACCTTTAAGCTTTCCTAATTGAAGACATATTCCTTTATTATGGGAAACGCAATCAAATCCAATAAAGGATTCTTCAAAGATAATTCTTAGATCCAATAAAGGATTCTCAAACGTCTCTAAGACATTTCAACATCTATACTTTCCTACTGCATCTAACGGATGACACACTAGAACATGTCATCTAAAATCAAACATAGTAAAGTGTGCCATATGTCACAACGAAATTTTTTCAATTTTTTTATTGTTGAAAATCCAACGGTCCAGATCATTAGGCCCTTAGAAATCCAATGCTCTCATCGCGCCACGTCATAGAGCCGGTGGGCTTTTTTGATGAGTTACCGTAGGGGAACCCACCGTTGTAAATTTAGGCGGCCACTCTCCCCCTTGCGTGTGTAATACACGCACCCGACACAAAAAAATAAATAAATAAAATAACACGACTAAAGTCATGCTAACATCATTCTTGTCCGCTGGCGCAAAGCCGAGCTTAACTTGCTCGGGCTTTGGGGGACTTCACATGGCCCACCACTTGCCCTCTTTACTTTGGCCTGTTGGGGGTGATTTTTGGTTGAAGAACATGTTTCAAGCCCTTACTCTTGCCATCCATCGATGGTGGAAGTGCTCCTAGCCAAGAGAATGAGAGTTCAAATTGAACTTGGCCGAACAACTACATAGTTAAACTTGGAATAACAAAGCTTCATAAAACTTTTATGCAATCATAAGCTAAAAAAATATATGTTTCGAAAATTCGAGAAAACATGAAAAATATTGTGTGTGTGTGTGTGTGTGTTTGTGAATAGTGATCGCGATGACATTGATAAAACGAGTATAATTACACAAAGGCAATTACATTTCAAGGTGTATAGTAACTGCATTGGGCTGGGTTTGAATTGCTCAATGTAAGATTTTTATGTTTGAACATTTTAAACGACCACTTTGACACGAACTTATTCTCAACGTCCTTATTTTAATCTCGGCAACCCAGTAGACTGAGGGAGGGAGGGAGAGAGAGAGAGAGAGATATATAAACCTATGCAAGAAGGCCCAAATCCCTGGTTGGATACCGACAGCTGAGCCTTCTCTCAAACAATCCATGGTCAATTTAGACCGCTACTCTGTTTTATTGGGTGCAAAAGTCTTCATAAAATTTAAAAAAAAAAGGGATAAAAGGGGAACAGGCTGCCTAAATTTATTAAAGCATTTCTGAGTTCCTTCCCTTTCGTTCGATCAAAAAATTAACAATAATTGTCTAGCCTGCCGAACCCAGAAGCTCCTTTTTGCTCTCTGTAAGATTTCATCTCACAAATTCTTCTTCTTTTTTTCCCCCCAATAATTTCATGTGATTTGTTGCCTAATTTGTTTCCTGCTGATATCTTGTTTTGTTTTTCAAGATTTCTGAATCGATATGGCTGTTGCATCTGAAGAAGCAACCACAATATGCAATCACTGGTGATTTATTATTATTATTATTGGGTGATTTATTATTATTATTATTTTTTTTTTATTTACAGTTTCCGTCTCGAATTTCGTAATTCTGGTATTATATATACATGTTTATGCATGATTTCTGTGTTTTAATTGTAATGATTTGAGAAATCTTGGATACCCCGATTAGATAAATCATGGATTACCATAATTATTAAGTGGGTTCTTGTGTTTTTAAATTTTTGGCAGTTGGTTTGAATTTTGTGAGATACCCCAGCTGATGCTAATATTTTTAAATTTGACATAAATGTGTGAATTTTCCCAGCTTGAGCTGAGATCATTTAGGCATTGAGTCAATCAACTTCGTTTTCCCTCTACGTACTTTTAAATGGTTTATTCTTTGTTTCGGTTTTATAAGATCAAACACACTCTTTAGATGTTCAATGCCTCAAATTTGTTTACTTTGCTTGATGTTTGTAAACATTCAGGTGCTTCATTGCACTAACTGTACCCTCCTAATGGATATTTGTTTTTATGTTTCCAGTCACAGAGCTATCCCCTCGTCAAATATTGATTTGCACTCTGCTCATTGCTTCCGCAATCTAGAAAAATGTAAAGTCTGTGGTGATATGGTTCCAAAAAAATATGCCGAGGAACATTACTCGAACACCCATGCTCCGGTATGTGTGTTTCCATATTCGCTTTTTCTTCCTAGTGCAGTTCATGAAACATTAAACAAAATGCAGTTTCTCCTGTTAGTTTTAAGTGAAAACCTACAGTTGCACTGCTTTTGTTTCGCCTAAATTTTTCCAGCTTTTACCCGTATTCAATGAGAAAAGTTAGATTACAATATTTTAATATGTGTGTTGAGTGTTGCCATCCTCTGGGTTTAAGGGATCTCATTTTCTTTTCTGTTATCTTATCAATTGTATTAGCTACTTCTTTGCTGAATACTTTTATAAGAAAGTTTTCCCTAAATTTTTTCATTTAAATTAAACCCTTCAGAAGTCACTCCACCATGGTAACGTTCAGAGACCTAAATTCTTCAAGTCCTAGGCCATCATAATAACATATGTAACCTGGTCTTTAGTTTTAATCTAAAGCTTCTAGAAGTATTTGAGGATACAGAGATGCCTTCTCTAGATGATAATTGGAGGCATATGAGAATCCATTTACGACCAACCGTTATTCTTGTCTTGACAGTGACACTAAGAGTGACTTAGTTATTTTATTACAATAAGTTGATATGCACTTGTAGAACTTTCATGCTTGTAGTCTGTACACGTGAACATGGTTAGTATCTATCAAAGAATGTCTCTTCAAACTGGGATAGTTAGCAAAAGAGATTCCATTTAATTAGTTTGGGGCTTTGTTGAGTTGACTGTTATTTGTTAGATAGTAATTGTTGAAACTTGGTAGTACAATGTTGGAAATTATTTACTACTTAGTCATTATTTATCGAACCCCTTGTAGGGCAGCAAGTGTCTCAAGTAGGTTTTTAATACACCATTTCTGCTACATTATGATTAAAACATGTTTATGATCATAAAGGTAACTTCAGCATTCTGTATCAAGCTCCTTGTCAGTTTACTTAGCAATCAAACAAAAGCTTCATATTATTCTGGAAGCATACAAATCATTAATTATGCCTCTTGCATGTCCTTTAATATAGAGTGAAGGCTTTTCATCTATACTGTAGCGGTGTAGCCTGAACGTACACCTTTTTTCATTTAGTTTGCGAATCTAACGTCTACTTTACCCTCCAAAGTTAACTCCATACACTATTTCTTTATGGAAAATCAGCAGTCTACCCTCCAATGTGGATCACATGCAAGTAACGTGACTTAATTTGATGGAAAATTGAATTAGTAGCTTTGAATCTAATATTAGGGATGTAATTGGCAGATTTTTATAATTCAAGGACTGATTTTTCTGAAAAAATAGTTTAGGGACCTAATTTTCACGCAGGTGGTAATCAGGGACTAAATTGGCAGTTCACCCTATTTTTTAACGACGCATCTTATTTGTTTAGGATTATCTTAAATTGGGTAGATATTACCATTTAACTGTAATTTGCATCCAAATTGTCGTGTATTATTGCAGGTCGCCTGTTCACTTTGTAGTGAGACAATGGAACGTGAAATATTAGCCATCCACAAAGGTGAAAACTGCCCTCAAAGAATTGTCACGTGCGAGTTCTGTGAGTTCCCATTGCCTGCAATTGATCTTGCTGAGCATCAGGTAAACACTGAACAAAATTTTAAATTTGATGACATTGAATAATATACATCAGCACCAAATGAGTGTTACTGTTATCTCAGTGCTTCTTTGTAATTGTAGGAAGTATGCGGGAATCGAACAGAACTTTGTCATCTTTGTAACAGATACATCAGACTGCGAGAACGCTATAACCATGAAATTAGGTGTAATGGTGTCTCGGATAATACTGCTGGTCCTTCCAGGTTGGTTACTATCATTTAGCATTTTCCATATATTAAATGGTATGGTATAATTTTATAGCTGTGTGTAATTGAGTAATTTAGTGAAATATCTTTGAGGAAGGCATAAGAACAAATTCACTTGCCATCTTTTAGCCTATAATTGATAGTCAACTACCTGTGTTTCATAGGTTTAGTTATAGATTCTTGGACATCTCTTATTTCCTTCCCCCCTCCCTAATTCTGTGGATGGTATTGTTTTTATTAGCAACTGTACTGTGTGTATATCAACCTAATTTACGGCAAAGTGTTCTTCACAAACTACTTCAGAAGTCTTAATTGATTGTGAATGATGTAACATTGGGTGCTGTTTTATGTTTGCATGCTTTTTTTTTTTTTTTTTTTTCTGTATCTCTTTTGATAATTTCATAATTGGTTTGAATTTAGTGACCTTTATTATACATCTCAGAATTTTTTTTAGTGTTGTAACATTGCACTTGTTATGTTAGGGTGATTAAAGAACTATGCTGGTCCTCTGTTTGGGTAGCAATGCTAGTATCAGTAGTAGTTACTCATAGTAATATTACAAACTTTTATCCTTTTTGGTCACTTTCTGTTCCTAAGATTGGATTAAACTGGATAATCCACTAGATTTGATCTATGTTAAAGTAAGAATTGAAGGTCAATTTCTTAATTTTGTCCAAGTGAAAGGATGGAGTAGTCATGAAGGAAACTTTACCTTCCAATCCCCACAAAATGGTTGGATTAGAAAGGAATTAAGTTTCCTTCATGACTAATATATTTCTAACCTTCATCATCCATGGATAAAATTTGGATGTTGGCCTCCTTTTCGTACTTCAACGTATCTTGAATCTAGCGAGTTACCCAATCAAATCCTTGATACCAAAAAGACGTAATTACTTATTTGGAAAGAAAAAGGGAAAGAAAAGTGTCCTCAATTGTTCCATTATTGATGCCTTAAGTGTGTAGCTAAACCTTCATCTGCTTTTTTATTCAAGTTAATTGAAAAAAAATTAATTAGGGTAAAGTTACACAAATCTTTCTGACTGATCAGTCTTTGAAGTCAGTTTCTTTTTAATTTGGGTTCATTTGCAACTGTTCGTTATTTATTGCTGTAAAGTAACAAAAGAGAAGTCAAATTGAGTCACGATATTGTGATTTCTAGCTCTTGCTTTCAGTACAAGCTGATTTACATGTTATTTAGCATGGTGTTACAATCTGATTATGAGTGGATCAGATTCGTTAGATTTCTTTGGGTTGGTGAATTTTTTGAATAACCCTGGTTTTGTAATCCTGCACTGTCAGCGTTTCACCATCTTTGAACGAGTTGGGAGAGACTTTATTTTGTTTACTTCATTTGAAACTGCCTAACCTTTTAGCGCATGTGTTCATTGGTTGACATTAGGAGATGGCCTAATCTTATAATTACGGTGACTGGTTAAGTGTTGTTCCTGTTGTCTTCATCTGTCGGGTATTAATCCTTGGATTTTCATCTGAAGGGATGCTAGGCCAGCTGAAAGAAGACAAGGTCCTCCAAGAAGACAGGCAAACGAGGTTTCACAGAAGCGGCTTATATTCACCATTGCACTAACAGGCATTGCTGTTCTATTAGGGTCTCTTTTTTTCCAGAGAAAGCCAGACGAGAGTCGTGTGCATTAGCAACTGAGAAGATATACTCATTGGGTTATGTAGATCTTTTTCAAGCTTCCAATTTATATGTATCTTAAATCTTCTGAAGTCGTACCCACTGCTGTAACCGTATTAAACTACATTGAGACTGTGATAATACACTGACTGATTCTGCCATACTGCCATATGCTTGTTTTATACTTATTAATTTCGCCATTTTGGTTGGAATAAATACAACTTTGTAAAAAGTAAACATGAGATATGCAACAATCTTCTTCCATATCAAATGCTATTTTACTTGCTTTTTATTTCTTTACTGATCTTGCAATGCCAAGGATTACCACTGACGACATAAGGTCTGTGACATGCATTTCAAGGCAACTAATGCACTGGTTGGAAATGTTATGCAGCGGTTCTGTCAACAGTGCAGCAGGTTGGTACCATTCTATTGTTATTTCTTGTTTGGTCGAAAAATTTCCACGATTTTGTTTATTGAAGATGAAATACAGAGTTTGGTTGTGTAAGTTTCTTGTTATGCGTTTGTTGTCCATGGCTGTTCATCAATCCTTTTTTAGTATTGTTGAGTTCTGCAGAAGTTTTCTTTTGTTGAATTAAATGTAACAGGGTTAACACTCATGTACAGGTTTCATGCTCTTCGAGAGCTGGATGAAGGGAAGAGAAGTTGCCGTAAGGGTTTGGCTGGCCATAATAGGAGGAGAAGAAAAACACATCCTGATACTGTACTTAATGGAGGCTCTTTAAATAATGAAAGCAGAAGCAGTTATCCATTGGTTAGCTTGCCGAGAATACTCTCGAATAGGTGAAATTATGGACTAGTTTGACTTAAGAGGAGACATGCTTCCTTTATTATTTCAGTTTTGCACTTGACTAATTATTGAGTGATTGGTAAAGTCTTATGTAGGTTTCACTAGGTCGAAGGACGCTGTTTTGACCAATAGTTGCCTTGTAGGACCATGCAGACAGCAGCGGCTGTTTTGGGGGAGAAGCATACATAGACGGGATAGATGTACCTCTGCAGCACGGGATAATGTTTATAATCGTATGTGTATAAAAACGTTCTACTGGTCTCGGATATTTGTTCTTTAAACTAAGGAGAACTAGTCCTTTTCTTTCTCTCCTTAATTTTTGTATGAATGCTAAGCTTAAGAGTGGAATTCTGTTTATATGCAGCTTTGCAAATTGTGAGCTTCGTTCAGTGGTAATTGTTGATAGGAGGTGAGCTTCTTGTTCGTTATATTTTGACACCACACGCATATATGTAGTGGAGCTTATTCGAAATTTTAATAATTTGCCTTCTGTGTGCAGTTTGATGGGGTCTGATTACGCAAGTAACACTTGATTTTTCAGGGGCTGGTGGCTTATTTTTACACCGGAGACGGAGATTTAGTCGTCTTAAAAGGTTAGGGAAACCTGAATGTCGTTGATTGTTTTACAAGTTACTTGTTTTTAGATCGCACTTTGTCTTCCCAGTCAGTCATGTAGGCACACATAGAAGACGTTCTATGGTTGGAACTTACTTATGTGTTAATGTCTTAAGCGATAGCTTGAAGGGCAAGCTTCACAGCATGCCGAAAGAAACTTGACAAGGTCAATACTCAAGCTTAATCTAATCCGTACTCAAGCTTAATCTAATCATGTATTTCGTTTAGTAATTTTTCAATGGAAACCATTACGAGCTTGTTTGATAATCACTTCTGCTTTAATTTTTTCGTTTTACTGTAAATAAAATGAAAATATAAAACTTGTTTGGTAACAACTTATTATAAATAAAATCATGACCGTTGGAATTGGATGGACATGATTGTGCCACGCCTCATAGAGCTGTTGAAGTAGCTATTATGTGTGCAACAGACAATTGGGGCGGGCACCATGCACAACTTTTTTGTCTGGCCAATCGTGTCTCGTATAAAAAATAAAATAAAAAAACGTGGTTGACATTAGCTATAGATGACTATCCTTGGGGCTAGAAAAAAAAAAGAAAATTTTAACGAAAAGCTTTTGATACTGTTCACTTTAACGAAAAATCACATTTTTATACTAAAAAATCAATCCTTGTATTATTCATTTTACCTTTTATTTTGTTTTTATCGTTAAAACTCAGTTTTCAAGTACTTTTCATTAGTTTTCTTGAAAGAAAAAAATTGAGTAGGGAGTATTTTGGAGTTGGTTTGGCATCTCGTCATGGCTAAAAATCATGAATTAAAGTACACTATGAAGAATCAATAATTTAGATTGTTTAATTTTTAAATTAACGTTTAAGAATTTTTTCTAAGAGCAGTTCTACCAGAGGTTGAATAGCCCAGCACCCAATTAAAAACCTAAACTGGGGGTCTGTTAATCCATTCCAGCCCACAAAATAGCATGGCACCCAGCCTAAGCCAGGCAAGAAACCAACCCATTTTTTACTGACCCAGCAACTGGCCTATTTGGCTGACGCGTGCAGCTCACTTGCGCGTGGGCGCGAGTAGGGGACAAGGGTGCAGGCGGCGGGGCCCACTGCCAGCCCACTTGCTCTTCACCCAAAAGTAGGCGACGTGGCCCTCTCTATGCCGTTGCATTTTCAACGGCTAGTTTTTCTAGACCGTTGGATTTCCAACGGTAAAAAAATTTTGAATTTTACTTTTAAACTGGACCGTTCGATCACAGATCAACGGTCCACAATTTTTCCTCCAAAAATTAAAAAAAAAAAGGCTCAACGATCAGAATTATGACCGTTGGCCACGTGGCAGCTCCTTGGCTCCTGGATTTGAATATTTTTCAAATCCAACGGTACAGATAAATTAATACATTAAAAATTATTAAAAATTAAAAACAATACAGAGAATTTTTTTTTTCTATAAATACCTAATCCTCATCTTGCACCTTACACCATATTTCAATATTTTTTACACTTTCAACATTTCAATATTTTCTACACTTTGAGAGAAAAAAAATGACTTCGTGGAAGCTCATTGAAGATGTTACGTTGTGTGAATGTTGGGTGCACACTACGTTGTGTGAAGATGTTACTTTATGTAATTTTGTCTTTATTTTTAGAACTTTATGCAATTTCAAATTTATTTTTTGTACTTTATTTAAACACATCAAATAAGATTACATAAACTCACCAAAAAACACACTAAATAAGATTACATAAACTCACCAAATAAACTTTAAAATAAAAAAACACCAATTAAATTTACATAACCTCACCAAATAAACTTAAAAAAAAAAACACTAAATAAAATTACATAAACTTAAAATAGTACATTCGGATAATGACACGTAGCGTGATGAAATTGGTTAAAAATTCTATCTGAAATTAAAACAATTTTATTTATTTATTATTTTATAAAAAAGTTAATAATATTTTAAATGGGCTGGGTTCCACCGCATTTTGTTGGGATGGAGATCGTTTGTGCCATCGCATTTTTAGACTAGGTGCCAGCGCATTTTTTTAGAGATGGAGATGCTTTGGTCTATTACTGTTCATTGAAGTATATTACTGTTCACTGAAGTAGATAAATGGGCTAAGTGCTGACACAAAATCTTTAGTTGTGGAACTGCTCTAAAATAACAAGAAAGGAGGTAAAACTGATTTTAGGGATTATGCAAAAGAAAAAAAAAATGGTGAGAGAGTTGACCAGGTTTGACTTAAGCTTCCAATTCCAGTCCAATCACTATAATCGTCACTCGTCTGACGTATGCAGGCATTTGGAATTCTGAAATTTGAAATTTGAAATCTCGCTCTCGAATCGACCGTTGAACCGCCTTATAGCGGCTATCTATCCATCCATCTCCCCTCCCAACGGTTCATTCTCTCTCTCTCTCTGTCTCTGCAAACAGCGCCTGATCGATCACTCCTCTCTCTCTCTCCGTCTCTGTGAATTCTGATCCTAAAGCCCTAAGCTCACTCTTTCTCTCTCACATTCTGTTTAATTGATTTGGTTTTGTGAGAATGAGTTCGAATTTGAATCTTTTGTCGGAGGTTGCGGTGGTACTCCGGAATTGGGAGGAAGAGAAAAAGTGGATTTTTGATGAATTTTCTGTTGTTGCAGATTTCATCCGTTTCTGTGCTGCCAAGAAATCGAAATCTGATCTTGATTCCTTCCCGATCGTTCCGAGCAAGAAACGATCGTCTCTGAGAAGAAGGCCCAACAAGAAAACAAGTTTTGGGTTTTCGTCAGTCCCCATCATCATTCCCAAGAAGAAGAGGTCGCTGAGAAGGAGGGCAGCCAGATGTCTGGGTACGACATCGACAAATCTGAAAAGGAAGCGGCTTTCTGGGTGTGAATCTTCTACATACAACGATGGGGTTGAAGAGCAGAAGATCGTTGATCCGATCCGTGGTGGTTGAGCACTGACGACCCAGGTTTGCGTGTTGTTCGGTTCAATTTTGTAGCTTTATTTTTGGAAGAATTCAACTTCACTTATTAGATTTTACATGAAACCCTAATTTCCCCAAGTTTTTGAAAGTGGTCAACGACCCGGCAGTGAAGCACATGGATCGAAGAGAAATAGACAGATTTTAATTCTCATCATTATTTGAGGTTTTACAGTGTAGAATAGCAAATTGGGTCTTCTCCAATAACTCCACATGATAGGCGTAGTCGTAGGATGATCTGCTCCACTACATACAGAGTCAAGTCGATTTTGTTCTTCAATACAACTTCTTCGCATCTAGGTTATTCGTATATGCATGTGCCTGACTTTTGCGTCTGCTGACTTTACGGCCTTGCTTTTAGATGTATCTCCTTTTGAAAGCGATGATAACTGTTGAATTACTGAATCTTTTTGCGGCTGCTGAATATTTGGTGAATTTTATGTTTGGTTTAGAAATTAGTTTTCAGTTGTGTAATTCAATGAGTGATTGATTTGTATGAGTCTATGATTCTCGAAACATTTAGCTGCTGTTTATCAAGGCACTGTTGTGTTGGAACTCTTGAAGAGACAGTGCCCTATATACCAAACAAAAAAGAGTCAGGAACGTTTCACTTGGTTGGTGGAAGTTGAAAATCTAAAAGGAACCTGTATTGAGTCTATTGACCAATGGCAGTGTATACAGTCAGAAAAGATTTACATCCTCTACAGGTTGCAATGCTGGGAACAGTAGCCATCATTCAGTTTCAAGTGTAATCTGCCCACCATTTACAGCGGGTGAGCTTTGCCGGGAACATTTGGTACGTCATGTTATTAACAGTTTTCTGTTTCTGTCACATTCTTCTTAGGCTTTTATCTTAATTGTACTAAGTGGGCCTGTGGTTGCCCCTTGTAATAGAAATAACTTGATTGAATCTTGCCTAGCATCTGAACATTTAGCTTATATTCTTTTCCATTTCAATTTTCATAGCTGACCACTTTCTGGAAGTGACTGGAGTGGTAATGTAATTGTAAGTTTTACAATAAATCTAATCGATCAAACTATTTCGTGAACCTACGTGTTACTGGTTTAAGTTGTAGATTCAGCTCTTTTGGCAATGTGGAAAGGTGTTAACTGTTGATTTTCAATTATGAAACTACTTGATTAATCGATTGAATACTTGATTGGTGAGTCTACGTTCTTTGAAAGGATTTAGTTGCAGTTTGTCAAGGCGCATTTATTTTTAGAAGACTCTGCCCTGTATACCAAACAAATACGAGTCATAATGTTTCACTTGGTGGAAGTTGAGAAAAGAAAAAAACAACCTGTTTTGGTCAGTGGTAGCATTGTATGTGTCTGTGGGGGTGAAGCATACACAGATAGAATAGATGTCTGTCTCCAGTGGTTGCAAATGCAGGGAACCGTGACCCTCCAAAAGTTTAAAGTTTAAACACCCACCATTTATAGGGGTCGAGCTTTTCTGGGACCATCTGGTACTTCATTTTATGTTAAAACTAATATCAGCTGTCACAGTTTTGTGTAGAAGGTGAGGCGAGAGAGATTGAGAGTCCGTATTTCACTGGTTATTTTTCCTTTGCAAATGGTTTAACTTTTCAACTGGGTGAAGATCAAATTTACTTTGAACTGTTCTGTGTGCCAGTGAGACTTCACCAACAGGTAAATGTATTTTTCTTCAATATGTTAAGTTGTGATACCTATATCCACACAAATGTGGACATATTTTATTCACCTAGTTTTCATATAAATGTTTGTGTAAAGAGGTTTATTTCAAAATTCCTCCTCCCACCCTCCACATAACCACTGCGTTTTAATTTAACACTGCAGTTAAATGTGCGTTTCCTCTGTCACTGCAGGGTGATCATCCGTGTGAGCAGAGAAGAAACATTATCGAGTATCGCCCTCTTTTTCCTGCAAATGATCTTTCAAGGACAAGTGATTTAGTGTGATTATGTACCGGAGAAAGCTCTGGTTTTGATTGCTTGTCTAACTGAATATGTTCTTTTTCTAACTGAATATTGTTGATTGTTTTACAAGTTACTCGTTTTTTATGTCATTTTCCATATGTAATTTTCATCTTTAAAGTCCAGACGAAGGAGATTACCTTCTTGTTGTCTTTTATGTTGTTTCTATGCAGCTTCGCTAATTGTGAGCTTCGTTCAGTGCTTGTTGTTGATAGGAGGTGAGCTTGTCGTTGGAAAACCTGCGCAGAATTGTAAGTTTTGGTCTTGCCTTGGCAGTTTGATGGAGTCTATCCTGGAAACATTCCTCGCGAGCTTGATCATCCCGGTGACGTTGCAGAATCGTGAGAAGCATCCGGAGAAGGGTGCTTGCAAGTAATGTGAGGCCATGATTATGGACAGTGTTACACAGTTAATATGACTGTTCTGATGCCTTCATTTTTCAGGGGTGTTGAAGATCTGAGGTTTCCCTTTATTTTTGTATTTGTAATTTTGTATATGAAGCAGTATAAAGATACTTCCATTATCTTCTTTTATTGATACCATTTCCAACGGTTAGTTTTCTAAACTCTATGTACCGGGATTTGGTTTTTATGTTTCCTTTCGGAGCCCAATATTTGGGACTGGATTCTGTCAACTCACCTATTTTTGCTAGTTGGCCCAAAATCCAACCGATTAAAACAATAATTTATTTTTTGGACTAAAGCTTCACCTTTTCGGGCTCTCCCTTATGCCTTCACATGAATGGTTTTTTTTGTAGGAAGCATATCAAGTGCTTTTGAAATTCAAATTTTTTTTTCCTTTTAATTATTTTAAAAATATTTCTTAACAAATCATTAATTATTATTACTTATGAGCGAAACATATAACAAATTTTTTTTTTCACTCAAAATCAATTGTCCTGCATGAAAAAGAAAATCAATTTGGAGAAATGAATGTGGAGGAAAATAATAGACGGTGGGTAGAGAAAATAGATAATTAGATTTGATGTGTTTTGAAACTTTTCTAATCGATCATATATCTTATCTTATCTTATATATAGAATGCCAATGGAAAAGTGCACAGTGCAAAACAGTGCACTTGCGGAAGAAAACTTTGGTGTCACCGGCATCGACAAAAAATTGGACGAAAATACCTCTCGGCCAAAAAAATTTCAAATCATGAAATATGAATGCATAAAATAATCCAAGGGTAATTTGGTAAATTTATTTTTAAATAATTTTGTCATAACTGGGATGAACAGTGCACATGCAGCCAAAAATTTGGGGTTACGCATCGTTGGACCAAAATGCCCCTCAGCCACAAAAAATACAACAGCAAAATTGAATGCAGTAAGGGTACTTTGGTAATTTGGCTATCATAAAATATAATATAAATATAAGTGGGAAGAGAGAAAAGAATAAAAAATGAAAGGGAAGAAAGAAAAAAAATAAACAAATGACAAAAACATTTAAAATGTATAAATCACGAGTAGCACTGTGATTCAAAAAATGTATTTTGCACTCGATTGTTTATTAAATATTATTTCTTAATTTTTAATTAAGAGGTGCATGGTGCCGGTTATAAAAAAGTTTCTCACACGCGTATAATAATGTGATTCAATTAGTTGTCAAATGATCATTTTTTTTCTTTATAAAAAAAGTCTTTCGCACACGGATAATAATGTGATTAAATTAATTGTCAAATGATTTTTTTTTAACAAATAATATTATTTATACTAAGGGGGAGGGAGTGCATTTAGCCTCACAATGGGCTAACAATAATGTAATTCAATCAATTGTTTATTAAATATCATTTTCTCTATTCCTAATGTAAATTTTATACAAACCGATTTATTATGTTAATTCAGAGACTTTAATTGGTTTATAAGGGGTTTGTTCTAGCATGATCGAAAATTATTCATTTACTTCAAATATTTAATTTTCCTTTTGTCAATTTACATTTATATAAATACATTTAAAACGTGTAAGTTGCGCATGGTATGTTGTGATTCAAAAAATACCTTCTGCATGAGCATGAGCGTGTGCGTGAAGGCTAGTTATAGTATAATTGGTTAAGAGTTAAGACCTTTGCACCATTGTCCCAGTAGTTACGACTGTTGCCATAATTTTTTTTAAACAAATTTGGTAATTTGGCATTTGATCAAAATAAAGAAAGAATAATAATGACATTTTTTCAGTAATATCATGTTTATGCATCTTGTTGTAAATTTAGTCCATTGATTGTTCCCTTGCTTAGCTCTATATGCCCATACACAAAATGTGTGAAATTGTTTACTTTGGTTGTTAAAAGGCAGGAGAGAGGAAGAGAGTGAGAGAGAACGTGCGAGTGAAGAGAACGTGGGAGAGAGAGAAGGGTTGTTTTTTATTTTTTTAAATTAGAGATGATAAACTTACACGTTGTCACATCCCGGCCCAGGGGGACGACTTCCCGAGCCCATTCCACCACCGTAGCACGATATTGTCCGCTTTGGGCCCCGACCACGCCCTCACGGTTTTGTTTCTGGGAACTCAGACGAGAACTTTCCAGTGGGTCACCCATCATGGGAGTGCTCTCGTGCGCTACTAGCTTAACTTCGGAGTTCCGATGAAACCCGAAACCAGCGAGCTCCCAAAAGGCCTCGTGTTAGGTAGGGATGAGAATATACATAAAAGGATCACTCCCTTGAGCGATATGGGATGTCACAATCCATCCCCCTTAGGGGCCCGACGTCCTCGTCGGCACACCACCGCCAGGGTTAGGCTTTGATACCAAATTGTCACATCCCGGCCTAGGGGGGACCATTTCCCGGGCCTGCTCCACCACCGTAGCACGATATTATTCGCTTTGGGCCCCGACCAAATCCTCACGGTTTTGAAATTGGGAACTCACACGAGAACTTTCCAGTGGGTCATCCATCATGAGAGTACTCTCGCGCGCTACTCGCTTAACTTCGGAGTTCCGATGGAACCCGAAGCCAGTGAGCTCCCAAAAGGCCTCGTGCTAGGTAGATATAGGAATATTCATATAAGGATCACTCTCTTGGACGATATCACACATGTAGGTTAGATTTAAAAATATATATATTTGTTTTGTAAACTTATGTTACTATCTTAAACTTTTATATTATGATAAAAGATAAAGATGTTTTTTCACGAAATTGACAAAGAGAACTTGATTAACGTAGTTTTAGATAAATAAAGACGAGGAAATTTGGCAATATTTACCACCCAACCGACTTGTTCCGTCCGTTAAATCAAACTACCGAAACTGTCCTCATTCTCCCAAGTGCGCAGTAACGGCCGCCATCAACTGTCAAATTAATCATCCTATGCCACCACCCCATCACACTCACTCCCTCTCACTCACCCGCCCTCACCGAGGGAAGAAGACGATGACATCTTCCTGTGCATCTTCGTAATTTCACAAATCCCGGCAAACCCATCTCTCTCGTGTAAGTGATCTCAACTTTAACAACGCAAATATTGTTTTCATTTCTTAAAGTTTTGATCTTTACATACACATACATGTGTTTTTTGGTAAATTAAAATCCATCTGGGTAGTTATTGCAAATCACATATTTTCCATGATCTGATTGTGCCACGCATCATGAATTTGGGTTTTCTGTGTTCTCCAGAAATTCATATTCTGGGTTTTTTCTTGTGGCCAACAAGTTCCAATTGATATCAAGAGTCTCACACCATGTCATCTGCCGCGGTGCGATTGCATATTCAAGGTCCCCATGTGAGTGAATTATCGGCCTTATTTTAGGCTACAAGTTGCTAAATTAGATATAATTTGAATTGATCAATGGATGAGCTTGGATTTTTGTTAACGAAAAACGAATTTCTTTCGGTTTCGGTTATGTGGTTGAACTTGATTCCATGTGCAGGTGGTGATGGATAATGGCATACTCCAAGTCACCTTATCGAACCCAGATGGCATTGTCACTGGAATACGATATAATGGCATTGACAATTTGCTTGAGCCTCTTAATAAGGAAACTAACAGAGGGTACATGATCACCGTGTTTAGTTGCTTCTGTTTTTGTCCCTCCGCTTCCTTCTCCTTCTTTCTCTTGTCTTCTTCGGCGTTTAATATAATATATTCGGCCTTTGTTGTCTTTGAGGATTAGGAATTGACTTTGGATTCCAATGAATGTGTAGTTATTGGGACCTTGTTTGGAGTGCACCAGGAAGTAAGGGAATATTTGATGTGTATGTATTTCCCTCTTTTCTCTCTACATATATAGTGGAGCAACTTTTTAGGTTATCTGATGGAGTGAAATTATCTGATAACTATACAGGATAAAAGGTACAACTTTTAAGGTTATAGTGGAGAATGAAGAACAGGTTGAGCTCTCGTTTTCAAAAATGTGGGATCACTCTCTTGAGGGGAAATACGTTCCCCTAAATATAGACAAAAGGTCACTCCTGAATTTATAGAAAGTTTCTATTATTATGAGTACTGCCAATTCCAATTATACTTTAGGATCTAGGCTTATTTAAACTGACTGTAACCTTATGATTCCTGTTATGTCAGTGATAGTGTTATCTGTATTTCATTTAGGTTTGTAATGCTTCGTGGTTCCTCGGGCTTCTACTCCTATGCCATTTATGAGCACCTGAAGGATTGGCCTGATTTCGACATTGGTGAAACGAGAATAACCTTCAAACTGAGAAAAGACAAGTAAACAATATATACTTCTGCTTTCATATTATTAACTACTATTTCTCATTTTGCATAGTGGTTTTGTAGAAACTAATCATTAGTAGACATTATATTGCATACGAGTATATAATTTTGGGTAGCTGCAAAGTTGCAAACTAAGGATATGTATTAGAATTCCGGGATTATTTAGTTTGTAGTTAGTAGAGTTCTCAGGATTAGTTATTTGAAGTATATTGTTTTTCTGTGTTTAACTATTTGAAGTATATTTGTTTTCTGTGTTCGTAATACCGTTTCAAACTTGAAGTGAGAAAAAAGGTTATTAACTTATTGTGTGTGTGTGTCTTACATTACCTTGCCAGCATATGCTATAACAAAAAAATTAGTAATAAACATATTCCTTTTAGTATTTTAGCTTGTATATGAATTATTAACAATGGTACAACTTGAGTGGATAGGTTCCAATACATGGCTGTATCAGACAACAGGCAGAGATACATGCCCCTACCTGATGACCGGTTACCAGGACGATGCCAAACCCTTGCCTATCAAGAAGCTGTCCTACTTGTCAATCCCAAGATGAAAGAACTCGCAGGAGAGGTATTTTCTCACAACTTCCTACTGTATAGTACTGCGTTGGAGTTTTTTTCTGTTTCGGGAGTGATAATGGCGTGGGACTATTGAGCCAATTTTTCTCACATATTCTTCTAAGTTATTTTACTATTGTCATTGTTTTTCTTTGGGTGGAAGTTACCCTGTTAGTGGGTCAAGATGTTTCTAAACTAAAGTTCTGGACTTTGAAGGCCATACAAACCTCTGTTATGTTTTGATTCTTTTGTTATAATTTCATGAGCTGTAGGTGGATGACAAGTACCAGTATTCATGTGACAACAAAGATAATAAGGTTCATGGGTGGATATGCACCAACCCACCAGTCGGGTTTTGGCAGATCACGCCCAGTGATGAATTTCGATCAGGTGGACCTCTGAAACAGAACCTAACCTCACATGTCGGCCCTACCACTCTTGCTGTATGTGATTATTCTGAGAATACTAGTCACTATGAACATTTTGCAATTTGGATCACTTGCTTGTCAGAGATGTTGGTATAACTTTGGGATATTAGTCTGATTATGACCTTTCTATCGGTGTCATCAGATGTTTCTTAGTGGTCATTATGCGGGACAAGATCTGGTGCCAAAATTTAGAGGTGGTGAACCATGGAAGAAGGTTTTTGGCCCTGTTTTTATCTATCTCAATTCTTCCACAATCAAAGATGATCCGTTTTGGCTATGGGAGGATGCTAAAATACAGGTTTGTCGTCGAAAACAAACCCAATTTCATTCTAAAGATGGAAAATTAGGAAAGGAAGTTTTTAATCAGAAATTGCTGATACAAAATGGTATTCAGATGATGACAGAAGTACAAAGCTGGCCATATAGTTTCCCAGCATCTGAGGATTTTCAAAAGTCGGATCAACGGGGTAATGTGAGTGGTAGACTACTTGTCTTGGACAGGTTCGTATCGAGATACACTTGTTTGTATTATTAGTTTTATCTTTTAGGGTTTGTACTATTAATTACTAAATCTGAGTATTGAAAAGATTTGCTGGCGTACTATCAGTTTCACTTCTTTTCTTAGTTTATTTGAAAACTTAAGTTGAAAATAAGCAATTAATTAACATGAGTGGATGATAAATTAATTTCCAATTATCAAATTGATGGCTCTCATTGTAGAAAGAAAAATAAGAAAACTAATGGTCGAGTACATTTGTTTTACCTCAATATCTTTCTGAGTATGCATAAGTTGATCTCAGTCTTCTTAATTACAATGTTCAGGTACATATGTGAAGAATACACACCAGCAGGTGGTGCGTATGTTGGTCTTGCCCCACCAGGAGATGTGGGATCATGGCAGAGAGAATGCAAGGTGAATTTTGTGAACCTCTATATCAATTATATATTGGGCTGCACAATGTTTGCTGATTAGTTATGTGCTACGTCGAAGAAAATTTATGGTTTTTATTTTTTATAATTATGTTAATTTTCTGATAAGGTATTTGAAATCTAGATCAGGGTTCTATTCTTTAATATAGATTGGCTTCATTAAGGGCCACAGTCACAGAGCACTGGGACATTATCCCACATTTGTGGTTTTTGTTTTAAAGGTCTCACAGTTACCACAAACAATTATCTCATATTTTTAAAAATGCTACTTTCTCAGTCCGTCGCATGTCCACCATATAACAAAGAGCCTGCAAGATGTTAAGATTTATTTTCTTAATGAGGAAACTCTGCTTCGAAATGATGCAACTGGAAACAGTATAACTCATGGTTTCTGAGGAGCCTGATGAAATATGAATTGCACTGTGATAATGCTGCTATCACTGAGCTGCTTTTTTACGTGATCTTGTGTCAGAAAAAGTTTCAAGTGATCTATTTTATGGCATAGCATACTTCGTTGATACATGCCTTTTGTTATATCTCTTCATATTGAAACTATACGAAGCAACCATATTATATACTATATGTACCAAAACACCATCCAAAGTCCATAAGTCATGTCTAAAGACATTCTTATTTCATTATCACACTTCTTAGGACTATCAATTCTGGACAAGAGCAGATGACCGTGGCTATTTTGCTATTAACAACGTGCGTACTGGCAATTATAATCTTTATGCATGGGTGCCTGGGTTTATTGGTGATTACCGGTATGATGCTGTCATTGACATAACCTCAGGTATATTTTCTCAACTTCTGTGAACTTCATAATTGTAGATTCAATTGTTTTTTTACATTTCATTCTTGTTTCCCTTTATTGAACATTTTGGTTTCATAACTTGTGATGCAGGTTCTTTTATCGAAATGGGTGATCTTGTGTATGAGCCCCCAAGAGATGGCCCAACATTGTGGGAAATAGGCATTCCTGATCGTTCTGCTGCGGAGTTTTATGTTCCTGATCCTGATCCAAAATATATGAACAAACTTTTCATAAATCATCCTGACAGGTAAGCTATCTTATTTCAGTGTTAAAGTGTTGATTGTTTGTCGATCTTCATAAGGTCATAACAATGTGATCAAAACTAGCCTTGTATAATTGTAAGTTCAAACATGCAAATGGTGGAAACATTATCTGTATCATCTTGTATGTCGCTTTATTCATCTAAAATGATCCATCAGCCAAATTAAGCGCCTATATTTTTCTTTTATGCAAACGATAATGGGTGAGGGAGGAAACCAACCTAGGATCTCAAACCCATGTTAATGCTCCAGAGTTCGGTAATAACTTAATAAAATCTTGACCTTGTCCTTCTAGCAGATTCAGGCAATATGGGCTGTGGAACAGATATGCTGAAATATATCCTGATGAAGACTTAGTTTACACTATCGGTGTTAGTGATTATTCTAAAGATTGGTTCTATGCTCAGGTTCCCAGGTACGGTTCTTCTTTTACATAATGACCGTCATTGTGAAAATCATAAGGAAAATGAGACTTGTGTTGGTTACCTGGTGCTTAAAGTTCTTGTGTACTGCAGGAAAATGGACAACGGACATGAAGGAACAACATGGCAGATTAAGTTTGAACTGAAAAATGTGGATCGGAACAGTACCTATAAATTGCGAGTGGCAATTGCATCTGCAACTCTTGCCGAATTGCAGGTATAGTATATCATGAGTTTCCTCATTAGTAGATTATAACTCACACTAATTTATCTTTTCTTTTCTTTTCGTAAGGTTCGGATTAATGATCCAAATTCAAGGCGACCTCTATTTACTAGTGGATTGATAGGGAGGGACAATTCGGTTGCGAGACTTGGAATTCATGGGATTTACTGGCTGTACAACATTAATGTACCAGGCACTCAGCTTGTTGAGGGGAATAATACTTTCTTCTTCAGACAACCAAGATGCACCAGTCCTTTCCAAGGGATTATGTACGATTATATACGATTTGAAGGTCCCCCCGCCTTGTAATTTGAGTCCATCTTAGATTGAAACTCATATGTCTGCATCAGCGTGTGTAATATTTCATGTATATATATATATATATATATATATGTACATATATACAATTGAATAATATTACATACATATATGTAATTGTAGTTCAAAATAAAATATATGCTATGTTGTATAATCTCTCTCTCTCTCTCTCTCTCTCTCTGTCTCTGTCTCTCTCTCTCTCAAAATAAAATAAATAAATGTTACATACCTACAATTCAATAGTACTCTCGGATTTGAACAACTGAGTTGTTATAATTTTGTTTTTTAATACAGTTATTAAAAAAAACTTCTTCTATTCCTATGCTATACTGGGCTTGGACCACCCCACCTATCTAGGCGTTATCCCCATGGTGAAGCATCGAGTACTAATATGGTATGTATAGTAAATAAAGGAATCCGCCTCACTGGATTGTTCACTGTCCGATGTATACAATAATCTATCTATTGCCAAAGAGATTACCTTTGTACATTACTTATCAGGTATCCGAAGTGAGTTTCATTGGTTGTTTGATTTGCATTGGAGCCTGAGAAGGCTATTACTTATAGCTAATGCCTAGGGTTGTAAGTCGGCTCGAACGGTTCGAGTTTGACTTGTGTTGAGCTCGTTCATGCGTGAATCATATGTTAAACAAGCTGAACTTGAACAAAATATTATGCTCGTTAAAAAAATGAGTTGAGCTTAAGCTTTGGTACGTTCGACTCACAAAGCTTTTGAGAAGCTCGTATCTTTTTATGTTGGATATGCAGTCAATTTAAAGCATTTAACTTATTATTTTGTGCGCACTCTTGCAGTAGTAATATCAACGGTTTGTTATTATGTTTATTTTATTAGGTTTTAATGAAAATTAAATCGAACTAAACATAGCTTGAGCTTGTTTAAGGAATGGGTTGAGCAAAGCCAACAAAAAACTCATGTATAGTTTACAAACAAGCGGAGTCGTGTCGAGCCGAGCCCGAGCTTGAAAAATTATCCCGAGTTGAGCTTGAGCTTGCGATTACGAGCTTTTTCTATGCTTGAGCATGATAATATTGGATAATACGATAATCTTGGGTTTTTAATCAGTTCAACTTCTAGTTAGACTTCTTGTGCTGTTTTTGTTTTCATAAAAAATGTTGGAACACTTCGTAAAACATTTGATCCCAGAATCGTAACCTATAATAGCGGCTGGCCTGCTCTAAATAACGAGTCTTGTACGCCTAACAATTAAGCAATGGTGCCGACTACGTAACGATATATATATATATTACACAAAAGAAAGCTGGAAATGCTTTGCTTTCATTTTAGTCCAAGTAATCACATTATTCTTTATTTTTTATTTATTTCTTTCGTTTAGAAGGTCAGTGCTATAAAACTAGATAAATAATTGAGACTGATATTCCCATTGGAGTACATAAATAAGTTCCAGAAATTAGCTCGATCGATCATCCATCATGGCACCTATTGGGGTGCAATTGCTTGTCCAAGATGACCATGTAAATTACCTGATAAAATCTACAGTGCAAATTACTCTTAATTTTTCTGCATATTAGTTTGATAAATCTGTAGGCATGCATGCATGCATGTTTTCTTTTGGTTTGAAACTTTTTCATGGTGAAATGAATTGCAGGTAATGATGGATAATGGGATTGTCCAAGTGACGCTATCAAAGCCAGACGGAATCGTGACTGGAATCCGATACAATGGCGTCGATAACTTGCTTGAAATTCGTAACGAGGAATCTAACAGAGGGTATTTTTACAGCTTACAACATAGTCCTGATCGATATTTTTTATTTATTTAATTTGTAGTTAATTTGCATGGAAAATATTGTAGGTACTGGGATCTTGTTTGGAGTTCAGCTACTACTGGAACAACAGGAACATTTGATGTGTACGTCCCACATATATATATAGTTATAGTTATAGTTTTGGTATAATCAGAACATAACACAATATATTCCTCAATCTGTGTCCTAATATCTTTACATAATCTGTAATTTTAAAACGATTGACTATGAACATGAAATTTCACAACGGATCTCTTATTTGCTTTCTTTTTCTTTTTTGGTCGACGAACTTGGGTTTAGAAATGGTACTTCCAATGCTGAGAAAAGATCACACCGTTACCACTAGCTTAGCTCAACTAGTTGGCTGGTACGTAGTTTAAAAGTTATATAAACTAATTAGTAATACTTATTACATGAAATATATGCTCCTCTCTACAACACACTACCTTCTTAGCAAGGATCTCATTCTACTGTAGCAAGAACGGGACGATAAAACTCTTAAAATAGAAAATGGGAAAACATTGAAATGTATAAAAGGTTCTATATGGTTAATACATGGTCACTACGATGATCCTACACCTATCCCTTTTTCGCTACATAATTCCTTCAATATTAAGTTGTATGTTATAATTTCGGTTGGTAACAATGTTCCGTTTGAACAAAGTGTGCACATTACTAAAGCAATATGCATGCAGGATCAAAGGAACAAGCTTTACGGTTATAATGCAAAATGATGAACAGGTGGAGCTCTCTTTCACAAGAACCTGGGATCCCTCCCAAGAGGGACAACTCGTACCCTTAAATATTGATAACAGGTCATTGTTCTCTATCCACATTGCCATCATTTTAATTGAATATATAGATCTTGAAGATGTTTCGATTACTATGAATGATCATACGTAGATTTGCACGTAGGTTCATTATGCTTCGAGGGTGCTCAGGCTTCTACTCCTATGCCATTTACGAGCACTTGAAGGACTGGCCTGCTTTCCAGCTTGCAGAAACCAGAATTGCCTTCAAACTCCGGAAAGACAAGTACACAAATTCTCTCAATTTTTTTTATAGGAAAGAGAAACAAAATTATGTGCACTGTAATGCCACTACGTGGTATTACTGTTTCACACTTACAATATGGTCGAAAGATAGATCAAGGGTATATTAACAAAACAAAAAACAAAAACATATATTATATAATTAGAGTGAAATAGTAACACTACGTGATGATGTTCTTTATACACTAAAAATTACTCCAAACACACGTAGCACTTTATTAGCGCTTAAAAAGTTACTAGTATTAAAGGGTTAATCTAATTAGTGATATGTGTGGCATTTTGGATTGAAAAAAGCTTTCACTATATGGCCATGGCGGACAATAGGAAAAGATACATGCCCTTGCCTGATGACCGTTTACCACCGAGAGGCCAAGCCCTGGCCTATCCGGAGGCAGTTCTTCTTGTCAATCCTGTGGAGCCGGAGTTTAAGGGAGAAGTAACAATTTTTCCTACCGAAATTTATTTTCTCATTGAATCTTGTATTACATAGGAAAAAAATATGAAAAAGAAACCTTTTTTTAGAGATGACAATCTTATCAATTACCCCGCTTACTTGATGCTTAATTAATCAGATGGATGACAAGTACCAATATTCATGTGACAACAAGGATAGTAAGGTACATGGGTGGATATGCACCAAGCCGCCGGTAGGGTTCTGGCTAATTACACCAAGCCAAGAGTTCCGATCTGGTGGACCCTTTAAACAAAACCTCACCTCCCATGTTGGCCCCACCACCCTTGCGGTAAGTGAGCCAAAACACTCAACCATCTATGTTTGTTACAGTGTCTGTTTCAAACTCCTAATTAATTTGTCATTCTTGAACTTTATCCTAGAATCGGAAAAGTAAACCTAACAACGTATTATAAAAGATTTTGACTCTTTCCCTCTCCAAACATTGCCAACTAATTTTGGGTTAAATGCTCTAGCTAGTTCTATTTTTTGCTTAAATATGAATGACACAATCAGGTGTTTCTAAGCGCACACTACTCTGGAGAAGATTTGGTGCCAAAATTTGCAGCTGGTGAGGAATGGAAGAAAGTCTTTGGGCCAGTTTTTATGTATGTTAATTCTGCATATGAAGGAAATGATCCACTTTCGTTATGGGAGGATGCTAAATCACAGGTTTAATTTACATTAATTAATAGCAATATTAATGAAATTTTCTTTAATTTTCTTCCAAACACTATATATAGATCACATGTATGGTGGTGATTTACATATATTTTAGTGACATTTCATTTGAAGGGATGTGATTTTTGGACACCCTTTTTCTCCCCTACAAACCCTGTTTTAATCCTAACTAGCTTTTGGACTGAATAAATCAACGAAGAATCAAGGGACAGAAATAGTGCGGAAGTAATTTTCCTTCAATGAATTAATTAAATTGAAGTTGTACTGCTGCTGCAGATGGTGATGGAAGTCCAGTGCTGGCCCTACAGCTTCCCAGCATCTGAGGATTTTCCCAAGTCACGCCAACGGGGTAATGTTAGGGGCCGACTACTTATTCAAGACAGGTACACAACTATACGTATTAATTATTTTAGTCACGTCTTAATATTTTTGATAATTAACTTGTAATCCAAGACTATGGACACTAAACAAGCTTCCATTGGGAATTTTGGTATTTGATTTTTTTCAACATCAAGATACGTTAGCGATGATTATGTATCCGTCAATGGTGCATATGTTGGGTTAGCCCCGCCAGGAGATGTTGGATCGTGGCAAAGAGAGTGCAAGGTGACTGAATCCTACATGCTCAAACTAAGTTCAAACATATAATTCTCAACTTAATTTGCTCTTAATCTCACATTTCGTTACTAATCAGGACTATCAATTCTGGACCACAACCGATGAAGATGGCTACTTTTACATCAACGGGGTACGCACGGGCGATTATAATTTGAATGCATCAGTCCCTGGTTTTATTGGAGATTATCATTACGATGTTGTTATGACTATAACCTCAGGTGGTCCAACTAATTCCCTAATGCTAATTTGTATAGGGCTTAAGTATAACCTCAGGTGGTCCAACTAATTCCCTACTGTTAGTTTTAGGGCTTTCTTCTTTCCGTTTGCCTATCGGCTATGCTAAAATGTTGAAAAGAAAAATGGAAATTAACAATGTATGCAATGCAGGTTGTGACATTGATATGGGTGATCTTGTATATAAGCCTCCCAGAGATGGCCCTACTTTATGGGAAATAGGCATTCCTGATCGTTCTGCTGCAGAGTTTTATGTTCCCGACCCTAATCCGAAGTACATTAACAAACTTTTTGTCAATCATCCTGACAGGTTTGCTTAATTATATGCTCCTTGCTGTTATTCGTACTTTTAAGCATATTATTATTTAAGTACCAGCAAATCACCATCTGACATGTGTATACAAAATTACTATAAAAATTATAAGAATGATTTGAGGCAGACTGTGATTTTGCATAAATGAGGAACAACTCGATATAAGGTATGAACTAAGATTTCAATTGGCAGGTTTAGGCAGTACGGACTGTGGGAAAGATACTCAGAGTTATATTCTGATCAAGACTTGGTTTATACCGTAGGTGTCAGTGACTACAGTAAAGACTGGTTCTTTGCTCAGGTTACTAGGTGCCAATTCTTCCCATGCCATACTATATATAATCGCTTTTTCTTGATCCACAAGCAATTTGTACGGTTATCATATGTAGTACTAGAAGCAAGAATACCGATGACCAGTGTATCGATTGGCTTAATACTTATGGCATTTTATTGCTGATTAACATATACAGGAAGAAAGATGATAATAAATATCAAGGAACTACTTGGCAAATTAAATTCAAACTTGAGAATGTAGACAAGACTGGTTCCTACAAGCTAAGAGTGGCACTTGCATCTGCAAATTATTCAGAATTGCAGGTATATTTCACAACTCACTATTTGATTATAATTTCATCATTAATGTGCCATGCATGGATTTTTTTTTACGCGTGGATATGTTTTATTGTCAAACTTATGTTACTAGATAGATTCTTATATTGTCCAACTGTAAAGAATATGTGCGTGCCATGCATTCATAAAATAATCAACTTGATTATCAATGGATCAAATCCACACTAATGTTTTGAGGCGGTTTGGCGAGGACATATTCTTTAAATTCTGCTTTGACTAGTGAATATTAACTGTATATGTTCTGTATATATAGGTTTGGGTGAACGATCCAAAGGCAAATCGCCCTCTATTCACAAGCGGGATGATAGGGAAAGACAACTCAATAGCAAGGCATGGAATCCATGGGCTTTACTGGCTCTACAATGTAGACGTACCAAGCTCTCGGCTTGTCGAGGGAGACAATATTATCTATTTGACGCAACCAAGAAGCACAACAGGCCCTTTCCAGGGTATTATGTATGATTATCTTCGCTTAGAAGGTCCCCCATCTCCAAGCTCCAAATGATGACAGATTACCTGCACTTTGTATAATATTGAAGCAAAGAAATTTTACTTCTGCTTTATAAAGTGCATGACCTGAGATAGCTTGATTAAATAGCAAAAAGCATGCATCCTTGGGTGGTTGTCCATAACTTCTGTGCGTTCCCCATCTCTAGGCTCAAATCCCCAGCTATGCTTCTCCACAATTCTCTCTTGCCTTTGTTTCATCAACATATATATATATATATATATATATATTGGAAATGAAAGGACAAAAGTATCATATTTTTAATTAAAATTACAATTGGCGAAAACAATTTCATTGAAGGAAGTGTGACTTAAAGTCAAACAAAAATTAGAAAGAAAACTGGTTTAGGAAAGTATGAGGCATGTGCATCCAGTTATGCCATTTTGAGAATATGTTTTATAATTAGAACTGACTTTGATGAGTGAATATATAAAAATTGGTTCATATTGATGATCATTTTATTGTGTTAAATGTATTATGTACCAAAAACTTCAAAAATTGCTGAAAATTCCGAAGTGGCATGAGTCTATGAAATTCGAGTTTTCTATTCCTGTATTAGAATTTTAATTCAGTTACGAAACCTTTTGGATTGAAAATGGTACCAAGTGTTTATGATCTATCCAGCCAAAAATCAAGCCTAGTCTCCACCTTCTATGATAGAAGCCACCATTGGAGAATCCTTATCGGGCCTGCAAACCACCATTGAAGACATCGTGACCACCACCGTGGCACCACGATCAACCACTGCCGCCGCCACTACTATTCAATGGCTCTTCTTTTTTTTTTCACCCATTCGGTTGTAATTAGTTAAACCTTGTTGTCAAATGGACCGTCGTTTCAGATTCAACGGTCAATTTTAAAAAGTAAAACTAATGATAAGGACTAAAAAACTGTATGATTTTGTAAAACTAATGATAAGGACTAAAAAACTGTATGATTTTGTCCATCTGCTTCCTTTATTTTTCTTGTTCAATATCAGTACCTGGAATTCCTTATGCTTATGGTTCAGGTTCCAATAGGAGACGATGATGATGAAAAAGAGAGAGAGACTCAACCACCTAGCACAAACCCGAAGGGAAATCATGGCTGAAATCTCGAGATAATCAGATCCAAAAAGAAAAGGTACAAAACCAAGCCATAGCCTCACGAAGAATCCAAGTCTCCTGGTCTGTTTGCTTGTGTTTGTGTTTATTTTTTTATTTTTTTATTTTTGAGGCTGGTTACTGCTTACTGTTTGGTTTATGAGAAAATTTTTTGGTTGTGTGTTCTTTTTTGAATGTTTGATTTTTCAACCCTTTAAGAATTGTGGGCGTTAGTTTGTAAATTTGTGTTGTGTGTTTTAAGTTCATGCCTTTAGTTGACAAAAAAAAAAAAAAAAAAATTGATGGAGAGACAAGATGGAATTGAGAACCATGCCATGGGATTCCATTGTTCATTTTAGGAAAACGATGATATAAATTTATTTAATGAAAAAATTAAAATTTTATGAAACTTTTTTTTAAATTTTAATAAAGAGGATAAAAGAATCTAAATTTTAATAAAAATGACACAATTTTAATATTAAAAAATTATATAAAAAAAAAGACATGCGGGATTCCCGCGTCCATTAGAGACATTTTTTATGAAACTAAACAGTACTACATTGTTAATGAAACTCAACGGTGTGACACTATTTATGAAACTGACCGGTACTATTCTATTTATAAAACTAAATGGTATTATACTATTTATGAAACTGAACGGTATAACATTATTTATTGGAGATTCATAAATAGTGTCTAGTTTTTTGTTCACTTTCATAAATAGTGTATAGTTATTGGGTACTATTTCATAAATAGTGTATAGCAATTGGCACAATTTCATAAGTATTGTCTCATTCTTGGTTCAGTTTCATAAATAGTGCCTAATTCTTGGTCCACTTTCATATATAATGCTTAGTTTTTTGTCACGTTTCATAATTAGTGTCTAATTCTTGATCCAGTTTCATAAATAATGTACAGTAGTTGGTACAGTTTCATAAATAATTTCTCTTTCTTGGTCCAGTTTTATAAATAATGTCTAATTCTTGATCTAGTTTCATAAATAGTGTATAGAAATACTACATTGTTTTTTTTTTTTAAATTAAACACGGGTACTACACTATTTCTTAAACATAACATAAACACTATTTTTTAAACTAAACATATATACATGCAAAAAACGACATTAAATCTTGTTTTTTCTTCCCATTTTTTGGGTGGTTATGGATTTTCATCTCATTTTAAAGTAGAACACAACATTAATTTAAATAAGGAAGAAGAAGAAGTTTATAAACGTGTTGACCCTAAAAACTACCAAGTCTAAGTGGTGCGCAGGCCGAGTAACTAATGAGCTAACTATGTCATTCGGTTGATGTAGGCCGTGCCAACTCGTTGGCCAAGCTCGGCTGAGTAGTAAAATGTGTTGATGTTGTGTTGAGGGCGTTGCTGATTTCTTGATCTTGCGACTGCGGCTGAGGAAGGAACACGTCCCGGCCTTCGGGTTTTGGAGCCTGAAGACAAGGTTGCTAATCTTGTGAAGTTCACGGATCGTTGGTGCCGAGTTCGGTCATGGTGATTATATTCGTAAGAATATAAGCATGCCGAACCGATACCAAACTATTCGGACACAAGTACTCAAAAGAGATGTGTGTCATAATGGTAAATGTCGTTCGACCGTCAGAATGCCGAACTTTAAAACTTACTTGTGAAGATCCAATCATAAACAACTTGACGTTCAATGTGCCGAGCCTAATAACTTGTAACACATCACTTCGGCAAGAAGGCTAATGAGATGACCTCTACCAACAAAGACTCGAAAATCCTTGTCGGCCGAGACTTGGATAGGTAATCAGTCGGCCTTCAATACTGTGATGTTTATCCAAACTGAAGGTGCTCTGCGGTCAGCTGATTCTACGGCAACAGTGTTATTTATCCAAACTGAAGATGTTTGCTGGTTGCCTTCACAGTGCTGTTTATCCAAACTGAAGATGTGTCGGCGAAAAAATAAAAATAAAAATCTGAAGATGTTTGAGAGATTTCACGTAGAGCGAGAGTTTGGGCAGGGCAGTTTGTGTGTTGAATTGGAGGGACTTCAATAATGCACTCTCCTATATATATATATATAGCAACGTACCTACTCCTAGCCGACCTAGAGTTGTATTCGGACTAAAACTCCCAAGCCTAATCTAATTAGGACTCGGCCAACCCGAGTTCCAGTAGGTTTTTGAACCAAGCTCCATAATGAATCAGGTTCACTCCCGTCTCCTCAACGTCTTCAACTCTGAAATCCCCTTGTTGTATCAGGACTCGACTTATTCTTTCTTATCTAGATCAATCCTTCTTGCAATAAGACTCGGCCGAACTAATTGGGCGGCTTGTGATCACTGGACGGCCCATAGCATTAGTGGAAGAGCCTTGGGCCTAACATAAACCTAAGCTCGGTCCAATAATATTATTTTGAGCCTAAACAAAACGAGGAAGAAGAAAAGGTTCTAATTTTTTTTTCTTTTTAAACGACCTGGAGGTGGAAAGATCATTGTCTCCATGGATGTGTAGGCAGAAGGTTCTAAATTTGGAAGAAAAAAGTTTTTTCTTTTTTTCCCTTCAATACAACGATATATTTTAGGGAATCTTAATGAAACACTTTTGGTACTGTTCACTTTTAATGAAAAAATCATTTTTACCTTGAAAAATCACTTCTGGTAATATTCACTTACACATTTATTTTGTCGTTTTGATTAAAAACTAAAATTTTTGAGGACTTTTTGTTACTTTTCATTAGTTTTCCTTATATTTTATACTAAAGAGAGAGTGGAGTTCAGCTAAACCACATAATGGACAACTTAATTTAGTATCGAATTCTTCATCCACGAGATTCGAAGTAGGAGCTCTCACTTACAAGTGAAGAGAAATACTACCAAATCTTAGTACTGAGTGACAATTTTATTTCTTTTTAGATGGCCTGACCAAAACGACATCGATCTGAGTAAGGTCGTATATAATAAAAAATATTAAAAAAAGAACCTCTCTTTCCTGTAGACTACAAACCCGAGAACCCTCATTTCCTTCCCACTGTTTAACTCCCAGATTCATTTTAGAAACCCAGACGTTCCAGGCCCAATGTGCAATCTTCCCAATTCCCCACCCCACCAGTCGCCACCACCTCTCTCCACCACCACCTGCCGTGCCACCATCTAATTCATTTTTCTACAAATTCATGTAAGTTTTTCAATCTTAAACTCTTAGTACCAATTTATAATATAGCTGTTAACCATTTGAATTGATGTGTATAGTTGTAATGCGAACAAAAAGTCATAATTGCGTTATGGTGGCGATAAGCATTTGTTGGTTTTGGGACATCTGAGTTTAACTGTGATTTTTTTAATATGAACCAAATTTGATGGAAAATAAAGGTGTGAACCAAATTTGATAGAAACTGATGATGTTTACAAAGATGGTCAATGCTGGAACTTTCAGAACTTCTACGTTAGGACAACCCGGCATTGGAATTCTGAATTCGCCACTACCAGCATCATCGCCTTACTCCAATGTTAGCCAAATAGCGTACCCTAACAACGCACGTATTTACGACAGTGTCTTTAATTATTAGACTAATAGGCTACCAAAAGTTGGATTAATCGTCATAATTCAAAAATGAACAATATGAACTGAGACGGAGGGGATGGGGCCAAGTTCCTGAAACAAAGTAAAGGCCTGATTAGGAGAATTAATGAAAAATCCTGATCCATATACTTTTAAAAATCAATAAGAAAATTAGGAAATAACAAATAATAGTGAACGAGCGAATGGCAAGCATGTCGAACACGTCTGCGCAACCCATTCAAATTCAAGATTCTAGAAGATCAAATTTCGAAACACACCCAATCAAGTTGATATTCGACCCAAAAAAAAAAACAAAAAAAAAAAACAAAAATTGATAAAAGATTTCAAAGTTGTGGTTCAAAAAAATACAAGCATGCAGCAGCGCTCTTGTGAATTAAACAATTGTGTTTACTTTTTTCTAACGAATTTGGCTAACGGAAACCCTATTCCGTCAGGGGCGAGTCTGAAAAAAAGTTAATTACATTTTGGGCTATTAATTCAGTCCATGTGTGATTGATGTTTGTAGGGCTTCATATAGATTAGTTTTGTCTTTATGATTAAATATAAAGTATTTTTGGTTAAATAATAACATAAGGTGGTTTTTTTTTATTAAATTAAAGTTAACTCAAACCATTTTCATTAAAGCTCCCGTTTTAAAAATCTTCTCACCGTCGAATTT